TACATGGTCATCGCATTGATGTTTATGGTGTACATCTATTGGAGACGTAACAATGCCGCCGATCGGGACGGTATTGATATCGGAGGTATCCCAGGCTTCAGATATGCGCTTTAATCATGTTTACCGCCAGACGAAACAAAATCAGGCGGTCTTCCGATTACAGCACTGCAACTAAATCGCCGAAGACATTATGTGGGGTTTCCGAAGATGATTATAGTTGTGTGTTCCAGCAGACTATGCTGCAATGAGTGATAGAAAGACAGAATCTCTATTATATCGCAACGATCAATTTGAATATTTCTCGCCATGATAGATCTCATAGCTCTGTAGTTCATATAATTCTCAAGACTACTCGCTGGATTGGTATGAGACTGAATTAACGGTCCTCCAAGACGCCATGGCTGTAGACCTCTGAGATCCGACCGAAATCTATAATAACTCTTCGGTGATTCAAGGAGAGTTAATACCTGCCTAAAGCTTCGCGACAGGCACAGCTACATAACCATGACTTTCCACAACATGCACTACGTGTCATTCTATGATACCGGTAGTGAAAGCGCCTCGCAATGGTTCAAACTAAGCCAATGTCATTTGATGTTCAGCAACTTTAAAAGTGAAACTCCCTGCACTTTCAACTACTATGCCACAAGGCCAGATGCCTATGTCTAATTTCACTAACTCGCCTACAGATACCTTTCATCTTCATGGTTGTGGGTCGGCCAATGAAGCTAATGCGGGCTGCTTAGCTTTCGAGTCTGCTGGACGGAGAAATTACCTCATATCGTTGCACCATTGTGAGGAGGGATCTCGATGTGCTTTCAAATACTGTATTAACCCTGGGTGTGCGGTAATCAGGACTCTTCAAAGTTTAGCAGGCAGGGTTTCAGTTACGGACTTGCGGCTTTCATAATTAGCCGAAAGACGAGTCTGGTGAATACAACGGTCTTTGCACCACCCTGATACCACTTACGCAATAGACTATTCGCACCATTTTGGATTATTCGCAGTTTAAGATCCTTCAGGAACCCCGAATCTAAATCAGCGCCCTCTTTTCTGGCTAGAGATACCCTCGACGTAACTCTTCACAGTGCTGAAGTACCTCGAGGAGAAGCAAGAGATCATTCCTATGAGTGGGGTTCGTTTTCCTTTGTCTGGCACGTCCTGGCCATCGACACCATCGGCTGGACCATAGATTTGCTAAGCCTTCTGTGGGGAAACAAGGAGAAAAGGCTAGTGAGGCCTACCTAATAGCCTACCTCGTAGTGCTAGGCCGGCTCTGGAGATTCATTAATGTCCCACGGGTGCCACGGGTCTCACTGTCCCAGAGGCTAGCATTAACCCCACAGATGGGTTTGATATTGCTGAGCTAATAATGTGGGGCGCCTTGCCTTCCTGAAAACTGCCCAGGAGCTGTAAGCATCATGCAGCGCTTTACGCTGGTGGGCCTTTTACTTCCCACAAATTGTCAATGGCCTTCTTGTTTTTATATATCTGCGCGGTAGCAGGCCGCACAGTTGACAAAGCAAACTCATTTTTTCAAGCAGGACGACCACTGCTTCAATTTCTGGAAGTTAGGCAAGATGTACATAAAAACTTACTAACTTCTATTGCGTGTTGTTAACATTTGTCCTTCAACACCGATCTATCTCCACGCACCTACAGGCATGAAGCTTTTCCATCTCACTATCGCCTCTGTCTTGCCCTTTCTTGTTGTCATATGGCTGTTTCATCCTCTAATACATCGCAAGAAAAGGAACCTTCCGCCTGGTCCGCCACGGTTGCCGATAATCGGCAACCTACACCAAGCACCGCCTCTCGACCCATGGCGAGTATATCAGGGATGGACCAAGCAGTATGGGCCCATATTCAGTCTCCAATACGGCCTAAGCACGGTGATCATTCTGGGAACTCATGAAGCAGCTCACGATCTCCTTGATAAGCGAAGCAACATCTACAGCTCCCGTCCTCGTGTTGTCATGGGTGGCGAGTGCGTTAGTAAAGGCTACAGAACTTTGCTCATGCCCTATGGCCAGAGATGGCGCAACCATCAAAGGCTTCAAGGCGCATTCCTCAACGTCCGTATCTCACAAAGCTACCGTCATCTCCAGGAGCTCGAGAGTCTCCAACTCATTCATGAACTGCTGGATCCAGAAGCAGACTTCTCCGATCGCTATCACCGCTACTCCTCGAGCCTGATATTTTCATTGGCATATGGGCGCCGTATGACTCTAGGCGACGAACCAGAAGTAAAAGGTATTGACCAAGTAATGGAGAATTTCCTGTACGCGGCAAGAGTCGGGACATGGCTGGTGGATGCGGTTCCTGCACTCAACTACCTTCCTTCCTTTCTTGCCCCTTGGAAACGTCTCGCTGAGAGATTGCACGAATTCGAATCCAAGCTATATATGGACAATTTAAAACAAGGAAAAGCATCAAATTGCTGGAACTGGTCTAGACACGCACAAGAGATGAAGGAAGCTCAAGCTATGTCACAGAAAGAACTCGCTTATGATGTTGGTATTTTATACGAAGCGGGTAGCGATACAACAACGATGGCTCTAGAGGTCTTCACGCTTGCGATGCTTCTATACCCAGAAGTCATGAGAAAGGGACAGGCCGAGCTTGATTCCGTACTCGGATCTACTCAATTACCGACTTTCGAAGACAAAGACAGTCTCCCTTATATCGACGCAATCATTAAAGAGACGCTTCGATGGCGACCGGTATCTGCCGGTGGTATACCCCACGCTGTGGTTCAGGATGACAAATATATGGGTTACGATATACCCGCCGGAGCTACGGTGATCGGGAATCACTGGGCCATTCACCTAGATGAGAATGTCTACAAGGACGCTTACGCCTTCAACCCTGATAGATGGATCAAAGACCCCACCCTGCCCCTGGCTGCCTTTGGGTTCGGAAGAAGAATTTGTACTGGCCAACATATTGCAAAGAACAGTCTTTTCATTAATATCGCAAGGATCTTATGGACGTTTGATGTAGGTTACAAGGACAAAGTTGTCGAAGGACAGCGACAAAGGCGCGAGGTCGATCCATTCGCCTTTACCCAAGGATTCAATTCCCGACCTGTTAAGTTTGAAGTGCGCTTTATCCCGCGCGAAGGTAGAGGAAGCAAGGTCAGGGCAATTTGGGAAAGCACAGAGAAGGACCTGGATTCCGTCTTGGGGAAAGTACGAGTCGAAAGCCCAAAGTCGTGATTCGTGATCACCGTGGAGAAGTCTTGAGGGAACGGAGATGATTAAGGGTGTTGCTAGAGACACAGACAGAGCATGTGCCAAAGCGTGGATATTGCTCGTACGTTCAAGTTATTCGCCCTATACTTTATCGCTTTGCCAGTACTTCAAATTTATGGCTCGAGTTTTCTCCAATCCCTGGTTGAGGGCTTCAACAATGCTTATGGAAGTGGCCTTTTCTTGAGCTTCTCCCCGAGTTGCCTAATATTAGTTGCTCCAAATAATCATGGCATGGCCTTTTTGGCCACTGAGCATCGAGTAATGCACAATCCGTTGATGGGCACATTCAGCTTCCGTTAAATCGGAGTCTTTCATTGTTGCTCGAAGTATCTCCGGTGCGTCAAACATCCCATCATTCCAATACCTATTGCCATAGCCCTTACCTTTGAAAGTGCTCGGGTCGAAGCCAGACCATTTTCGATCTCAGCGTTTTCGTTATTGCCAAGGTATCGATCCGTTAAATAGCTGCCGGCAAAAGGATTATACTCTTTGAAAGCTGATTTCATAGTATCGCAGACAAGAAACTAATTCCTGCCACACACTACGATGGATTGCTTTAAACCCTCTTTGGCACATTGTGGGCTGTATCCAGCCATTCCGCTGGCAATTCTCACATATTTGAGCAACCTCCCAAGACATGTAGTTGCTGGCCAGAAATTTGTTGAAAAGACCCCGTTGCTCAGTTTGTCTTCTTGCAAGGTCGTTTCATAGGGCGTGGTTCGATCAGGGCAACGGAGGTACCAAAAGATCAATCTTTTCAGCCTTGAGCGTTTTGAGTAACTCTAACACATTCTGAGCTAAACTTATTGTTCCATGTGTCAATCTTTCACCTCTCGGGCGCCGATGCTGCGACGGCGGCCTTTGAATAGAACTTAGTTCCATGACGAAGCTTCGATCTGCCCAGTTAAGCGAGCCTAGATAATTCCCGATAGACCACCACCGAAGAACCGAGCTGTGTTTAACTTTGTTGTGGCCGTGCGATTTGAAGGGATGAGACATAGAATTGGCAACATATAAGTCATAGGCACGAGCATACTAAATCTTTTCACGTCCGAGGGCCATGCTACCTAAGCACAATTATCGGAAACCTTGGAATTGTTATATGAGCAGACTATAGAAACTGGACACAATCTTGAGGGATTGTTCCCGAGTCTTGATAGAGTTGAAAAAATTCAGGAAAAGAAAGCGACTACGTGCGCAGCCATTTGAAAAATTACGTCAACCCCCGGGTTCAGTGTCAGGGTTATGCAAATTCGGAACAGGCTCCTGGATATAAGTTTGGGTTCGATGGTATGACGAGATATACGTGCAAGCAGCCGACGATATTATACTAAACTCCCTGTTCAGCAATTACCCAATGCTTTTGCTTTCTCTCTTATTTCGTTCGCGGTTATCCCTTCTTGTTTCAGCCGCATCAGGCTTTGACGGACTAACCGGTTGATTTTGCCGAGATATTTGCTTCTCAAATCCTTCTCCTCACGCTTCTCAGGATTTGGGAGCAGCTGCAGACAAAGCCATGGCCCGATGCGTATGGCTACATAACCCTGTCCGGTTCTGGGATGGCTCGCCACCCAGCCCCCACCGAAGAAGTTGTCGATATGGTTGGGGAAGATCGAAGTGATGTCGCCGATCCCATTCCATGAAATACAAGCTGCAGCATTGTTCAATTAAGCCTTGCCCATCCCAGCAACATGGCGAACCTGAGTCTCCTGCAATTCATCGAGCTTACAGCGACCGTGGGTCGTCCTACGGGATGTTGTCTTCATGAGTTGATGCTCGATCGTCGGCCACAATTGGTAACAGCGGTAACGATGGTTGCGTTTGCGTCGAAATATGACTTGGTGTTCTAGATGCTATCGGTGGAGTGTGCCCATCACTAGAGCCAGTAGTAGTAGGTCCAGTACGCAGTCGACAGAGCAGATCAAATGCTTCCACAACTTCGTCGGCACTAATGTCCATGCCGATCGCGCGGATAAAATATTTGTCTTGCACCCGCTGGGCGGATGCGACGGACTTTTTGGTCTTCGAATGAACTGCCGCATAGATTGACTTGTAGATCCCTTGACCAGTGTAGCCGATAAGCCCCATGCATGCTTCAGCAAACCATAAGTCAGGCTATCATCAACATGAGGAGCGAACATACCTGCTGTTGGTTTTGTCGCGGTCTGCAATGCTCCTTTACCGATCCCTTTGCCAAAACCAACTATCCCTTCTTTGGCGATACCTTTCGCTGGCTGCACCACAAGATCTGTAAGTCCCTCAGCCATTTGGTGGACGAAAGTTGATCCAGCAACTGCGAGACCACTCTTCCAGTCGGTCACAGAGGCATGATCGGGCACTTCCTGACCGTAGAGTTTTGGCGTATTCCGCAAACCTTCGGCAACTGCGACTGGGATGTCGACCAAGGATCCCTTTATCACAATTCCTGTAATGTGAGAAATACTCATAGCAGAGGCCCCCACCATCTTTGCAATTTCTTTGCTTGGGCCTTCCCCGGGATCATTTTCGTTACCAGACGTTGTTTGATGAGATGATGCACGACTCAAGGCACGCTCTTTATCTTTCTGCTTGCGAATTGCTCGCGGGTTTCTCCAAAACCCGCTGAGAGCGGCCAGGATGTCATACGACATCTCCATCGAGACCGCGAGTGAGCTAGTAAGAAAGTCCCATCTGCGGTTCTCAATGATGAACGGTTTTGATTTGTACAGCCGAAGGTCTTCTGCCTTAATCCTCCGTGCTTGAATCAAAATTTCGGCTGCAGCCCCAGAAATTTTGAGAAAAGTCTTCGATCTCCTGTACACCCAAGTGGCAGGTAATCCCTTGATCAAATCACAACCCATATCGTCGACTGGTAAATGCCGATGGAACGAATGAACTGCAGCCTTAACTCCCAGTTCAGTCGTCATCTTTTCAGCCACAGCCTTTGCAGCTTGTTGAGCCTCTTCGCGTAAGCAATACCGGATTGAGCTGCTAAGATTCTTGCTACTTAGTTTCTTATGAGGGATCGGAGGTGGTCCGGCTCGGGAAGCGGCAACCACATTGCCCCAGAACGGCTGGCTATAGTTGATCAGCAATGAGCCGAACAAAGGTTGGAGAAAGAACTTTACTCTCCGAAAAATGGCACAATGACAGTTGGTCGGCCGTTTATGAGCCCGCAAGCCGTAGTCCCAGCTCCGCCATGGTGAACTACCAAAGAGACTTGTTGAAACAACCACTCTGCATAATTCAGCAAACGCTATCGCAGAATATGTGATCGAGATTTCACTTACCGTGAGGACATTCCTCGAGGAAGAAGACATTTTCACCAACATCCTCGCTCTCCAGGTTGCTCCATCCTTTCGAGATAATGGCTCGAACACCACATTCATTGATCGCATCGAGTAATATCTGAAGGAGCTTCTCAGGATCTTCTATCACGATACTACCAAAGCCAATGTAGACAGGGGTTGGCCCTGATTTCAGAAATGTGTCGAGGTCAACTGGTACCGTGTACAGGGCTGGATCTGGACGTATAAAACCGCAGACATCTGTTTCATCTGATTAGGAAAGATCACGCTGAGGCCAAACAGTACTGACCAATATGTTTGCCCCAGTCTTTGGGCTTGGGGACTAGTGCAGGAGACCAGCAGTAAGTGTGAGGAACCTGAAGAGTCTCCATTAGGAAAGGAGCTTCAGACATCGGTACAGCTTCCAGATCGATTGATTTCCTCCAATTTTGAACAATGTCACCAATTCTCGAAGGGCAGTCAGCAGTGTAACTCGGAAAGGTTGAACCTGACATACCCATTCCAGGTCAACAACTGGACCATGCCGTATGAAATGTAATTCGCTAGCTTTGGATCAGTACTGCTATTCCTGATATTCGCTAGAGGATGGGGGAACGCTCGAGTCGGGCTCCATGGCATGGTGAACATGATGTGAACGGGGACTCCAAGTGCTTGGGCACAATGAATGTGGGCAAATGATGGAGGATTAGCGATTATGGCATTGGCAACGAATGGATCTCCGCTTTCTGAGGGTAAAATGCACGAAGCCCAACATCCGTCAAGTATCTCCCGGATCATCTTTCTGTTTTTGCTCACTTCTCCTTCTCGTAGAGCTCTCATGCGAGGAAGCAATCCTGGATTCTTGACCATGTACTAGACAATCACTTAGCATGGGTTGCAGTCATTGGGAAGACAGCAAGGTACCGCCATTAGTTCCGCTGGATCGCCTCCAATAGAATAAAACTCCAGTCCTGCATTCTCAACAAACTGTCTGAAGACATTGTGAGTCGCCAGGCGAACTCTATGTCCATAACGCTGCAACTCTTGTCCAAGAGCAACAAATGGCTGAACATCCCCACGGCTACCAACGATCTGGATCACAATGTTCAGAGGCAGTCTCCACGCCTCTAGATCCGAAATGGTTGAGTAGGCCGGGGGAGGTTCGATAACATATTCTTCATCCTCGGAGGCTTCAATAAGTTTCGCAAAAACCTGGGCGAGCTTTGAGTTGAGGTTAAGAGAGACACGGCCGTCGTCGAGAACGCTCGTGGTGTCATCTAGTAGGGCATCAGGGAGCGGTGACTCGGGTTCGTCAACAACAGGAACATTGTCTGTTTGAACAGCAATGTTTGCAGGCTGTGACAATTGAGGCAAAGCTGCAGGTTGGTGTGACAACTCTTTTGTCTTTCCCATAGCGGGGAAATGCTGGTTTGGAGTCGAGCAAGGAGCAGCGCATTCTTGGAATTATTCTTTGACGATAGCCCTCAGCGTGTTGAGGCGAACGGGAAGGGTTGTTCTGAGTGCTTCGGCCATGTCTCTCCTTGGATTTCAGGCGACAGTATTACATGCTGCTTGTGGAGAAGCCTTTTGGGCCCGCTAGTGGCTCTTTGGGCAATACAGCCACAGTATTACAGTGAAAGCGCGCATTCAGAAAAGGAAAGGCGACACCCTCAGCCCCCAAAACCTGTCTGTGGACAGCACGGAAACGCACGGATATCGAACCAGTGGAACCCCCAAAAGCAGCTGAGTGCGCAAGCGGAAAGAAATCATCTTATTGTCTAGAACATCAACTTGTGTCATTACTCAATATCCGGGAGTAAATAGCATGATTGATGTCTCAGTTAGTGCTTCTGCCCGAACACAGCCCGTTTTGCTAATCGTTCCCAAGGAGATCGGAGCTCACCTTTTTTGAAAAATTCGGCAAAACTCCGACAGGCATCAATCACGAGCTTGTTCGTCCCAGCTTCTTGCTTCACAGGACTCTTTGTCAGGCGTCCGTCAGTTCCCCCATGACTTTGGCTGACTGGTCGTGTCCCCAACACAATGACTCGGTTTCCCGTGACAGACCTTCAAAGGTCAATCGAACCTGGTGGAAGCTCTATTTCGGACGCTGCGTATCGTGGTGAGGCGATCAAGTACACGGGCCGGTCCTGAGAGTGCATTGTTTTATCAAGCCTGCAGCGAATATCGAGCAAATGGGTTTCCGTGTCACTGAGGTCTTAACTTCGCACTCCGTACATAATGCATTTGCATCGACATAGTTATTTCGCAGGCCAGCGAAATATGGTCGATCATCCATAATTTTCGCTCATCCAATGAGGTCCCATTTGTTTCCGGAAATATCAAGGAAGACAGCAACACGCCCATAAGCCTCTGCTCGAGGCTGTGTGAGGAATTTGATGCCTGCCTCTACTAGCCGAGCGTGCGTAGCCTTGAAGTCCTCAACGCGCTAGAACATGCCTACACGCCCAGCGAACTACTTTCCCACCATGATTGTTTGCTCAGGGCCATCTGCCTGAGCCAGAAGGATACCAGAACTTCCAAACCGGGAGGGCGGTGGATGAACGACAACCCAGCGCTTGGGTTTGCCCGTGGTTGTCAGACTAGGTAAATCCTCAGCCAGAATGAATCCGAGCTTTTGTATGAAGAACGCGAGCGCTTCGCCATAGGAATGCACTAGAATGGAGACAAGCGTAATTCCCGCCTCGGCTGAGGATTCCGGTGGTGCCGCCATGAAGAACAATTGTTGACAGTCCCAGTCTCCGTGATTACTTCGGTCAGGACAAGTGAATGGGAACTCAGGGTTACCACGGATTCTGCAATGTAACTAGGACTTTCCGAAGTCCTTTGCAGGAAGGCTGTGTACGGAGTAGATGCTTGTCGTTGTGTAATTTTGCTGTATTGCGAAATTCCCATCCGGACGCTGGTCTCGGCGTGTCGGAGGGGAGATTTATCGAACTGCAATCAGAGTTGATTCAGAAAGGTTAGAACGTCTGTCTGACTGTTCTCCAGTGGTCAGCAAAGTGTGTCACTTTCCGGAGGATCCTGTCGTCTCCTCGCGCTGGCAAGGACAATGCACGATAAGATTTTTATTCCCAGATTGGGACCCTCGCCCGAGGACTTTGGCCAGCAATTCAGTGGAAAGATATTATCTGCCATCGGTGTCCCCAGAATACGGGTGATCATGGAAGGGCGAATCAGCGTTCAAGTGTGCTTCCAGGCTGTTACAGCACCAACAACGCACCTATTTATTACAGTTTGCGTACCTTGCGTTAAGCGCTCGGTGAAATCAATCCTCAAGATAGTAGCACTGGAGGCATCGCCTGGGTTTTGCAGGTCGAACGAAGACCAGAGGACTTGCGGTATCAGAGCACCGGATGCAGGGATTGAGTCAATGGTCAGCCCAGACTCGGAGGTCCGCTGCCACTCTATCCATCTGCTCTCTTGCTGACTCTCGTACGATACTCCCTTATTCGTGTGCAATTGCGCGCAATTGTAGGCTATGCGGCAAAGATATCCATAGTTACAATCGGCACTCGATCACTGGATAGTTTGGCGAAGTTCCACACGGCGGGACTACTTTTCTCCTCCTAGACGCTAGTCTCCAAAGGGAAGAACCCGATCGGTGAATGACATCTACCACCCGGCCATGCACGAAAATTATTTTGACCTGAGTTTCTCTCCATGGCGCCCACGAGGACAAAAGACGAACGGCTCGATCTCCGTTCAAGCTCCTCCGCCAGTGAACTCAGCAGCGATAACGAGTTTCGGAATCCCCCTCCAAAGCGCAGACGCATTTCGCAAGAGACAGACGAAACTCCATCCCCCGCCGCCCACGTCACGTCGGTATCTAGAGTGAAAAAACCCGTCTTTCCTGAGGAAAATGGATCACTGTCGGCGACGCGCCCTTCAGTCTCTACGACTTCTGTTACCTTCCATTCACTTTCCGTGGCTCCATGGCTGATACAGTCCCTCGCCGCCATGGCCATATCAAATCCGACCGAGATTCAACGGACCTGCATACCTGAAATCTTGAAGGGAAGAGATTGCATTGGAGGCTCTAGGACGGGTACAGGAAAAACAGTGGCCTTTGCCGTTCCTATTTTGCAAAAGTGGGCAGAGGACCCGTTTGGCATCTACGCTGTCGTCCTCACACCAACCCGAGAGTTAGCTCTACAAATCTACGAACAATTTCAAGCGCTGGGAGCACCACAGAATCTCAAAACAGTTCTAATAACAGGAGGATGCGATATGAGACCACAAGCGGTTGCTCTAGCTAAACGGCCACACATCGTCGTTGCAACACCCGGGAGACTGGCAGACCACATTCTTAGCTCGGGCAAAGAAACCACCATCGGATTCTCTCGCGCGAAAGTAATGGTCCTCGACGAAGCGGACCGCTTGCTAGCCTCCGGACCGGGCTCGATGCTTCCAGACCTCAGCACCTGTTTATCTGCTCTTCCTCCACCTTCATCTCGGTTAACTTTGCTTTTCACCGCAACCATAACGCCAGAAGTTCGAGCGTTGAAGGAAGTTCCCCGCCCGCAGAGCCGACCTCCTATCTTCATATCCGAGATCACAGACTTCTCTGATTCTGCTCTCTCTTCAAGCCTTCTTCCGGCAACGCTCACACAAACATACCTACAGATTCCCATGACTCACAAAGACGCCTTCCTTCACGTCCTTCTTTCCGTTCCTTCGTTCACGAAAGCGCCTGAGCCCAGCATCATGGTCTTTGTGAATCGCACCAACACTGCCGACATCCTCCACCGTACGCTCCTCCAGCTCTCCCATCCCGTAACAGCGCTGCACTCGGAACTCCCTCAGGATCAACGAAACAAGAACCTCTCCGACTTTCGCTCTCAGAAGGCGCGGATTCTTATAAGCACAGATGTGGCATCAAGAGGCCTTGACATTCCCGAGGTCAACTTTGTGATCAACTTTGATGTCCCTCGAAATCCGATAGATTACGTTCACCGAGTGGGTCGAACAGCTAGAGCGGGCAGGAAAGGTACGAGTGTCACATTTATTGGGCAGCGGGATGTCACCCTCGTCCTGGCAATTGAGGAGTATGTAGGGAGTAAGATGGTAGAATGGAGCGAAGAGGGGGTCAATATCGAGACACGTGTGGTGAAAGACCGGACGTTAAAAGATGTAGCGGAAGCGAGGATGCAAGCCCTTCGAGACCTCGAGAGTGGAAAGGACGTCAAAGGCTGGCGAAGAAAGATCAAGAAGGACAGGAAACGATCATTCTCCGAATAAAGACTCAACGCCAGTAACGGCGTATTGTTGACGGACAGCAATGATGATTTCACGACATGTGAGCCTGCCCGATATGGTATCCCTGGGAATCCCCCCATCGCGAATAAGTCTGCGGGTGGATGACTAATACCTCTGAATTTCTTTTTTCCTTTCCACGGATCTCTTCCAATACGTCGCCGGATGTCATCCGGATTTTCGATGATCACACAATAATGCGCGTTCTCTGTCACTAATACATCCGCACTCAAAATGTCGGCTCATCAGGTTGGTCATTCTGGGTCAACGTCAAGACATGCAAACTCCACGAACATCGAGCATAGCCAGCTCGGCGCCGTTCTACCTCATCCAGTCAATATCAAGCTCCGCTTTGTATTCACCCTCGTCATCGATGCTGCTGAGAACAGTCTCTTCTCCTGTCCAGGTCGTCGGCGTGCCGTGAGGCATACTTGACAGGCTTCCCGCCCTCTCGCTTCCATTCACACTGCCCTCTCTCAGTCTCCTCACAGATTCGTTGGACTGATGTTCTTTCCACCATTTTGCACTCTCTTCAACGACCTTCTCTTCCCAACCCTTGACAGGTCCGATGACCTCGATGTCCTTCTGACCAGCCTTAAGCACATCCCGACACGGAAGTGACATCGTCATATTCTCCTTGTTGTTACCACCTGTTAAATCTTTCAACTTCTCCTCACTGGCAGCATAGAGCAGGCGTCCAATATTACTCCAGTACAATGTCCCCGCACACATAGCGCACGGTTCCCAAGTTGACACCAGCGTGCATGCAGCGAGGTATTCCTGTGTGAAGTGCACAGTAGCTAGCCGGGCAAGCTCGGTCTCCGCATGTTGGACATGAGAAATGGAGAAGTGCGTAAGGAGGGTAGTGGTGTTGTCAGGTCCGAGGAGCAAGGCTGCAAAAGGCCGCTTCTCGTGCAAAGTCGCTGCAGTAATTTGTAAATCCAAGCATGCTTTCAACGCAGCGTCAATTTGTTCTTTGGTCAAGGTTATGCGAGTCGGTTCACGAGTAGGAATGCTTGAGCCGGACGCAGGCTGAAGTTTGGGGGCGGAGAGGTTTGCTGGTGAGTTCGCTGATGATGCCAGCGTGAAAGGAGCATTGATGGTAGATGTTGGAGTAGCATTTTTTGCCAGAGTGCTATGAATTGATGAGAAAGGTGTGTTGGACGGCGCTACGGTTGGAGGAGGTTTTCGATGGATGGAACCTGGAGAAGGAGTTTTACTGTTGGCAAAGGCTGTGGTGGACTTGAGATATGACTGATAGCTCATCTTTGGTGGGTAAAAGGTGACACCCTATCAGAAGTTGCCAGCAGCTTGAGGACAGTACTCCGTACAAAACTCGCAAGTACGAGAAGTCTCGTTAGGTTACTGACTTGCGCAGTGTCCTGAGGTTTGTAGCGAAATCACCATCAATCGGCTCACAAGATGCCGACAGCTCCTTTATTGTACCAAGTAGATAAACCCCACGTGAATCGCGATGCAGCAGTAGTGACATCAGGTGCAAAGAAGAAAGGCGGGATGGACTTTCAGAGTAATGATTCTAAAGCGCAGTAGGCATTATTGGCGGACTGGAGAATATTTTTCATTTCTGCAGGAGCGCCCATCAGCCATGGCTTCAAATGTCCACCAATTTGCGCCACCTCTTTCCAGGTGAGAAACACTGCGGAGAGACGCCCGCAAAGCTCGCATACAAAAGAGCTGGTGATTCGTTGGTCTGAACCGAAAGACTCGCCTAAACAGCCTGTTCCTGGCGCTAGTGTTTCCGCCCCTTGTGGGTTTCCCACAGGCCTGCACGCCGCAAAAAGGTTGTATGGTACCCAAGTTTTCAACACTCCTAGGGTGCGATTCTGTCTTGGTCGCCGCCCACGCGCTTTGTAAGGGCGTTGCCCACGCGACCGCATCATCTTCAGTTAGAAGACTAGTATATCAATTTTGTTTTGTTCACTTCGGTATCTCTGGCGAATACTGTCGTTATTGAGCAAGGCGATCATCGGTTGAAAAATTTGCCCAATCGTGAAGATCGTGTTCTTCTTCTCGTCTTTATATGAGCCATCCACTACGATTCGTTGTAGGGCCTCCGTCTTCATTGCACCTGCTTCCATCAATTGATACATCCTCTCCGGAGTTCCTATGGCGATCCCCACTTTGTTTTTTTGCAGAAACTCCACATTCATTTCGAGTTTCATGTGTTTGGCAATAAATTTGGCGACTTTGGAGTCTTGAGTCTTGAACACTCGTAGTTGGCGCATGAGATCTGCAGTCCGTATGCCAGATACTGTGAGGACAAGGGTGTGTGGTGTCGCTACCTGGTCGCAGGTAGAAAGTTGGTCTTTCCCGTCTATTGAGAATCGCACGAGAAAGTCTGGCAGATTCGCGGCAACTCGGTCTTTGTCATAACTCGTGGTGTCGAGAAAAGCCTTTGCGGGTAGGTATCGGTTTTCCAGTTCGATGGGACTACTTTTCGAAAACCACTTTTGAATGTATTTCGCAAAGTGATCAGCGAGAAGGGCAGGGTCAACGACGGCTTCTAGGGTTGGACATTCTTCTCGTTCAGTGTCAAGAGCGGTTCGCTTTGATGGAGAGCACGTCTCGATACCATCGGACTCGTCGAGCTTTCGCTTCTTTCCGCGTTCATTGGGAGTCAGCGGATTATTCGCTCGCACGCTGGCAGCCACCTGATTCTTTCGTCGCTCACTGATCTTTGCTAGCTCTTTCTGCCCTCTTCGACCCTTCATCTTCGTGCGCGACGTCCTGGGCGATTAGTTATTTAGGGAGACAGATACATGGATTTGCCTGCGCTGAACATTCGAGAAGTGGACCCAGAAGAATTTAAAATCGCAGCAAAATAAATCTTCCTCACCCCGCATTCCACACCTTGGCGGGACGTGTTCGGGGAAGGAGTAATTACGGAGTTCTAGGTATGGATCGGTACGGGCACCCTAGTATGACATCTTGCAGTCGCGGCAAATTACAAACACAATCAAATGGAGTTCACTCGGTCTTGATTTATGGGCGGCACTGGTTGTGCTGGACTCCGCCTTCCTTTGTGAGAACTTGCTTGGCGTCATTTTTGCGATTGATGACACCATCAAGACCAGTTGAGTATATTTACAAACATGTTCGGAAAGATTGCGCAAATATAGACTCCTTGTCTTCTTTTTTGAAGGAGAAAGGTCCAGCTTGTCTCTGCACTTCGTCGACAATATGGGCTGGTTCAAGGATAGACTCGAGGGCCAAAAGATCGTAGTAGTCGGAGGAAGCACGGGGTAAGCCAAGATATCACGATCCGTTATGCTTCTGCTTTGTGCCATGCTTAATTGATATTTGTAGGATCGGCTTTGGTGCTGCGGCTGCTCTCCTTGATGTTGGTGCCAGAGTAACCATCATTTCATCTTCTCCGGAAAATATTGAGGCCGCACTGCAAAGACTGGCGTCTCCAAATGCCAACGGAGTCATCGCTGACGTCCGTGACGAGGCAACCTTCACTAAAAAACTTCAGTCACTGGCACCTATAGACCACATTGTTTTCTCCGCTGTTGATCACATAATTCGGGGCAAACTAGAGGAACAGGACCTCGATGACGCCAAACACCTCTTCGGAGTGAAATTCTGGGGGGCGGTGATCACAGGAAAAGGTATGGATCTTGACGGCTGCGATTAAGCATTGGGTCACTTACTAGATAAAGTCCTCCTAAAGCACAACATTGTGCGAGAGGGAGGTTCATTGACTCTTACATCCGGGACTGCTGGTATCAAGCCCGGAAAACACGCTGCAATTGGTGGGGCCTTGAACGGAGGGGTGCTCGCTCTTACCAAAGGTCTTGCAGCGGACCTTGCGGACAAGAAGATCCGCGTCAACACGGTAGTGCCAGGCTTGGTTAAAACGCCTCTATGGGACAAACAAGGGAAAACGGCCGAAGAACAGGAGGAACTCTTCAACAAAGCTAGCCAGAATCTCCCGGTTGGGTTTGTCGCGACTCCCGACCATATCGCTGAGGCGTACCTCTACGCCATCCGAGCAGATTACTCCACTGGAAAGTTGATCGAGATCGGTAGGTATAGCATGTTAAGTCTTGTACCGGCGCTGATATGCTTCAGATGGGGGCGTTCTCTTATAATGTAGGCTCGATCCACACAAGTGCCGAGCTTAGGCTTCACATGGGAAAACACGCAGTGGCATGGACCAAATAACGCGGCCGCAAGCCTGACGAGATTACCGCAGTGGGGAACTTCTGATTGGTAGGTTCGAGGAGATTTGCAAACCGACGCTGTTAAGCTCTGAGAGGGAAAGTATTCTGAAATGAAGTATGCACTGTGAAATGCTATATCGTTATATCCCACCACCTGGTTGGCACAAGAAGTGGACCTGCTTCGAAAACCAACCTATCCTCATATCTCGTACTAGTCGCTGGGTCGAAAATTCAGGAGCACGAGGGGAATTCAACTTCATTTTTAATCACCGCGAATTAACAACGCACCAACTATCAAGGTAGGAACGAACGTATACTCTCCAAACACTCTGAGCTTATGGTCAATGAATGCTACTTCTATTATCATACAGTCATGGACTTGCATGGTTTCAAGTCCTGGCTGAAATGATGCGTGCTTGGATCTCTACCAATCTTGGCTTACCCTCATCTATCCTCAAGCTACGCATAACTTCCCAAGGATGACGCGAGAAATGCTAGCATCACATGATATTGTTGTCAAAGTTTCCCATGTTGCCGTCTTCCAAGGATTCGCCGCCATGATGGGAATGCTCCCACATTTCAACTCTAACCCTTGGGTTCCAGAGACAGATTCTCTGTTGTGGTCGACGTGGTTGGCCTGGATGTTCACCATCGAAAGCCTAGAATGCTATATTTAGCAGCCCCCCAACTCTAAAACATACACAAAATGAGGCAGTAGATATAATGGGATGCTCGCCCAGTATGCCATTCTCTCTCCTCCTCGGGTCGTCCAAAACCCTGGCAACATTTCTTTCGCTGCGGCGTCCGATTTGGCCACAAGTGGATTCACCGCTCTGCAGTTCTGCGACATTTCGGGCATGAAGAAGGGGGACAAAATCTTGTTCATTGCCGCATCTGGAGGCCTAGGGTCTCTGACCGTACCATTTGCTGCGAGCGGTAGTGGGAAGTGAGGGAATCATCGTCGGTACCTGTTCCGCGGCGAAAACAAACCTCTTTAAAGGCTTAGGTGCTGATGAGGTCTCTTTTAGCGTTATTTCATTGCTTAGTAGGCAATGATAGGGTACCCCGAGCTGCAAGCAATGGGCAAAAACAGCCAGAACATTGACAAGCTTTCACAGGTCATTGACCAGATATAACACCTCGAACTTCTCGAATACATCGATCGGCATCACTCCTTACAGCAATTCAACATCATAATCGGCATTGTAGGCTCCGATGACTTCAGCAATGAGAGTCAAGAATACTTGACCCCTGGCGGCATTTTCTCGCAGTGGGCACAATGAGCATCACCTGTGGTGGCGGCGAGGTTCTCGGTATTTTTTCTTTCCTGATCAACGTCCAACTCAGAATGTATCTGCCGCTGGTACCTTGGGGAACGCCACGCGTAGCGATTTCCATTCAGGCGACGTCGTGCAAAGGAGCATACAACAACTTCCCCAGTACTTGGGCATTGGACGCGTAAGCTGCGATACTGATGGTCGCAGGCTTATGAGCGTGTTGCCACGGGTCGAGCGAGAGTGAAAGTCGTTGTGCGAGTGCAGGGCATCCGAAGCCACATGTGCATCTGCAATGCTCCGAAACACTGTTGGCTTCCACCCATGCCATGCTCAAACTTTTCGCAGTCAAGAACAGTTGTGGTCGTAATTTCAACCCGCCCAGAGCAACCCTGCTAATTTGGTTCATTTCGACACAAATTTCCCACACGAGTCTAGATGTCTCTCTCCTGTCTTAGCTGGGACTGTGCAAGGAACGGCTGCCGTGACGGACTCAAATATGCTGCTGGTGGCCCTTGATGATCGGGGACACATTCAGATAATGCTGCCTAGGCTTGAGCACTGACAGGTCCGGACATACAGTACTCTTCGACTCTTTAAAGCACAACTGCTAGTCTTCCAAGTGGTCTCTCACCTTGGTTTTTCATATTCGACCGAAGCAATATGGCAATCTCAATTCTCCAAGAGCGAGGAGCAGCACCGCCCTCACCTCCCTGGCTCACTTGTCCGACAGGGACGACTTCCTGCTACACCTTTAACGGAGCATATTGTTATAATGCAAGTGGTGAAGACATTTGCTGTGCTGACGGCAGTGGTAAGCTATCCGGTGTACTTTTGAAGTCTTACAACTGAAGATACTTGGCCAGGGGTCTGCTCTGGAGGGTTTAAATGTGGCAGTGGTGTTGCTGTCAACCGTTGCTGTCAACCAGTATGTCGCTAACGTTGACGTATCGTCTAGAGCTCACCGATCCAGAGTCAAACTCCAGAGCAATGCGCACAGGGTCCTGTTATCAACGTAGCGACCACTGTGAATTCAATTCCAGATCCTACCGCCACTTTGCGAACCTCTGATTCGAGACAGCGGAGCGTTTGCATCTCGAGGATTTGCGTTGTGTTCGCGTTCTTTGCCCTTCTCTTGTCTGTATCCGGCTACTCGTGGCGATAGTGATTTGCTGAGCCTTCTGTTGACAGGACTTCCATGAAGCGGGCAGGAGGACTCGTTCGCACCAATGAATTTGTTCAGTGGTCAAGCAATAATATCGCGTACGACTGGAATGAACCAGCTTGTGGAAAGTCACAATGAGATTTCTTTAGAAGTCAGCACGGCATTTCGTTCGAGTTCAAACCCCAATACAGCGGCGTGAATTCACGGTTAGCCTTGAATCTGAGTGGCTGTCGTTGATGTAGGACGACCTCCTTGCGACGGCACTCAAGTGTGTTGAGGAGGAACTGGTTCATTGCTTCTCTCGCGTCACATCGAGACAATGTTACAGTAGCATAAAGATACAGGAGGCTACGAGGTAGAGGACGACGGGCTCCGCTCGGCATCGGTGACTGCAGGCGAGTTCTACGGGGCGGCGGCGACGCGAGGGGTGCAATTCACCATTGTTTTTGCTCCGGGCTTCAATCAGCGTCGAAGCATTAATCCGACAAATGAATTTCTCGACCGAGGTCCGCACAACTGGAGGATCCGTTGCCTCCAGCCCGGTCACAACCACTGATCACCCTCTAGGTGACTTTTCTGTTGGGTATACCATCCTTATGACTTCGGCCGACCGGATTCTTGCGATGCCCACGCACATACCAAGTATATGCCAAAAGTTATTGCGAAATGATCAGTGGCCGATAGTTTAGAGACCCAACGTGCATCGCCGAACAGTCACACGACGAAATTACAACCGCCTTGTCGTATGGGTTGAATGCCGGTGCCAACCCCCTGTTTTCACGATGCCGATTCTAGAAGAGACTGTGACGGACAACGAACACCATGACAGTTCTGCAATCGCAGAAGGCGATGCTTCCAGTCGCCATCCGCGTGTTCCTCCAACCCCGGCTTCAGTTAAGATCAATGTCGAAGGCGCCTTTATCGTCGACGACGAGACGAGCGTCCGTAATGGCACGGCGAGCGAGCATGAGCATGTCCACTGGGAACACAAGGACATCCGCCTTCCACATCATACTGACGTGGTGAGCCATGTTGCCGTTGATGTACGTCATCTGCGCGATGTTTCATTCCATCATACCCGCCCCTGACTCTAATTCTAGATTGGC